GAAAGTATCTGCCCTTGTACTTGTAAAATATGCCCACTTTTACGGAAAAGAAACCGGAGCAACCTCCCTATTCATCTGATCTTGCTCCGTGTTTTCTTTTTCTTTTTCTTAAGCTCAAGGTGATCATCAAAGGGGCCAATTTTGAAGGCGTGGAAGCTATCAAGAGGGCCATGGGGTATCCAAGAAAAATTCTTCCAGCAATGCATATAAGCGTGGCACGGAAAGATAGAAAAGAGCATTAAACTCGAAGGGGATTACTTTGAAAAGGGGAAACCATGTAGTTTGTTTTTTGGAATTGAAATAAATTGTTTTCGACACTATTCACGGTACTTCTCAGATATTTCTCGGATATGTAAAATGTGTTTAACCTTTGGTATTTTTTTAATTACAAAGTATGGAAAATGTTATGAAGCCATTTCTAACCTTAAGTCTCTGGTTGCGACCTGGAACGAAATCCAAGGAAATAATAATAATAATAAGGAACACCTGAAGATCGCAAGCGCGTACTTGGTCGAAATATTGTGTCTATAATAGCATCTGTAAAAGCCAAGATAATAGTAATAGTTGGGATAAATTGAATAAATGAAACTATTTTCACAATTTCTCATCTCAAAAATCAAAAATTAGAATCATTTTTACCTAATAGTAATTTTCATAGAAAATGTTATGAATGTCTTTTATTGGTAATATAAGTTTGTATTGATAAGTCAAATAATGGAAGATGGCGCAAGTAGTCGTACATTTAGGCCATGAGTGTTTACCTGTGAAGACATTTAGGAATCAACACAATTTTTATTCTGTTAGTAAATGATAAACAGTCAAGAATATTCAGACAGAATATTCCATAACATAACTAAAAGAGGGAAATTCAACCCAGATCATATTCTGTGACTGCCTATAGTGCAGTGAAACACAGGCACACATTATGAAAGAAAATGCTATCGTGATACTCACTTGGTTTAAAGGTAAACCTGGGTATGGTCAACTCTGGGTATGGTTAACCTGGAGATAGTTAACCCTGGGTATGGTTAACCCTGGTTAAGTTTAACCATGGAAATGGTTAATGTTTGGTATGATTAACCTTGTTTATGGTTAACCATGGAGATGGTTAATTCTGGAGATGGCTGACCCTGGGTTTGGTTAACCCTGGAGACGGTTAACCTTGGAATGGTTAATCCTGGGTATGGTTAACCCTAGGTATGGTTAACACTTGAGGTGATTAACGCTAAGATCGTCGAATGAATTTCTAACGTTAATCCGATTCGAGTAAATATGCTGCCTTCAATGAAACTTGAAATCGTGGCTTAACTTAATTTGTGAGACAGTTAGATGCACGACTAATTACTGTACAGTTACATTCCAACTAACTGAATCGATTTTCTTGAGAAAGACAAACAATTTGCTGTTTGCCGTGATCGATTGAATTTTCTATTACGCCGAAAAGTAAAGACGATGACAAAATAGTTAATCGATGGCAGCAGACACTGATTGGCTTTGCAACGTGGGTAGAATAGAAAAAAAGTTTTGATTGCAATGAAAAGTTGAGAAAGAAATTAAAGGTGCATCTTTTAAGCGAGTTCAAGTTTAGAAATTCTCTTTAAAATGTTTATAAAAGATGCGACATTTGCGAAAACTCGAAAATAATCATGTTTTCCCAATTCTGATCCGAAGGAACTCTCATTCGTTGCTTTTTTCTTTCAGGCTTTCTTTCTTTCCTTTTTTCTTTCCTTTTTTCTTTCTTTCTTTCTTTCTTTCTTTGAATCTTTCTTTGAATCTTTCAAATTTTTTTCTCTTTCTCGCAAAAGAACTTTCCTTCAGGATTTCTTTTTATCTATCTTTGTTTTTTTTATTTCTTTCAGGCTTTCTGGCTATCTTTGAAGCCTAAAAGAAAGCCTAAAAGAAAGATAGAAAGCGTGAAAAAAAAGCAAGCCAGAAAGAAAGAAAGAAAGAAAGAAAGAAAGAAAGAAATATGTGATATAAGACTAAGAGAAAGAAAGAAAAAAGAAAAAGAAAGAAAGAAAGAAAGTTTGAAAGAAAGAGAGAGAAAAACTGAAAACTTGAAAGAAAGGAAGCTTAAAAGTGTGAAAGAAAGTATGAAGAAATTATACTTTTAAGCTTTCTTTCTTTCAAATTTTCGGCCTTTCCTTCTCTCTCTGTCTCTGTCTGTCTCTGTCTCTGTCTCTCTCTCTCTCTCTCTCTCTCTCTCTCTATCTATCTATCTATCTATCTATCTTTAAGCTTTCTTTCTTAATTTCTGTCAGGCGTTCTTTCTTTCATAAATTTTGACTATCTTTCTTATTATTAAGCTTCTTTTCTTTCAGGTTTTCAGTCTCTTTCTTTCTTTCAAAATTTCTGACTATCATTCAATTTTTCATTCTTTTCTTCCTTTTTCTTTTTTTCTTCTTCCAGATATTCTTTCATTTTTTTCTATTTATTTCTCTCCTTTCCCTTTTCTTATACTTTTTACTCGTCCTCTTTTTCTTTCTTTCTCATTCATTTATTCTTTCTTTTTCTATTTCTTTTCTCTCTCTCTCTCCCTATTTTCTTCTCTCTTTCCTTCTCTCTCTTTCATTCTGATTTTTCATTCTTTATAAAGCGTATGTAAAATGCACCAAACGTGCCTGCATTTCGTTAAGTGTCTTCAGCTAATGCTCATTCGGAGGAAATGTCAAATTGTAAAGCGGAAACGGAAGTTAGTGGTTGTCTGTAAACCTGAATGTCACGACATTAGGTAGTGACAATTGGTCTAGATTTGAATGAGAATTACTATTTGTATTGTCATTCCTTATAGCTCTCTAACTGTTCCACAAGTGCGGCCATTTCTACATCTTTTTCCACTTGCTTCAATCACACCCAACACTAAAGCACTCTAATAAACCGAAAAGAATTTTATAAAACAGGCGGGCAAAATTGAACCACTAAAAGGACTTCAGTTTTCTTCTTCTTCTTCTTGTTCTTGTTCTTCTTGTTCTTGTTCTTCTTCTTCTTCTTCTTCTTCTTCTTCTTCTTCTTCTTCTTCTTCTTCTTCTCCTTTTTCTTCTTCTTCTATGTGCCGTGTCCCTTCAGGACGTTGGCGATCATGACTTTTTTACAATTTTTGTACAATGTAACTCTTTATAAATGTTGCCTTTTTATTAGCGCTCCTAAATCTTTCTTCGCCAACGTTTAAACAAGATCATACTGCTTCTTTCTTTCTTTCTTTCTTTCTTTCTTTCTTTCTTCTTCTTCTATAACTTTCCAGAAATTTCTGTACATTGTAGCTCTTTATTATTCTTCCCTTTTTATTAGCTCTCCTAAATCTTGCTTTGCTTACCATTTACACAAGGTTATACTTCTCCTTTCTTTCTTCTTTTCTTCTCCCCCTCCTCCTTCTCCTCCCCCTTCTTCTTCTTCTTCTTCTTCTTCTTCTTCCTCTCCTTCTTCTTCTTCTTCTTCTATGTGCTGTGTCACTACAGGACATTGCCGATCATGGTTTTCTACAAATTTCTGTACATTTTAGTTCTTCATATTATATTCTTCTTCTTCTTCTTCTTCTTCTTCTTCTTCTTCTTCTTCTTCTTCTTCTTCTTCTATGACTTTCCAGAATTTTCTGTTCATTATTGCTCTTTTCCTTTTATCTTTCCTTTTTATTAGCTCTTCTAAATCTCGCTCTGCCAAACATTTCCGCAAGATCCTTCTTCATCATCATCATCATCATCATCATCATCTTCTTCTTCTTCTTCTTCTTCTTCTTCTTCTTCTTCTTCTTCTTCTTCTGTGCCGTGTCCCTTCAGGACGTTGGCGATCATGGCTTTTTAAAATTTTCTGTACTTTGTAGCGCTTATTAAATCTCTCCTAAACCTTGTTGCGCCATCCATTTAGTCAAACTCACTTGATAGGTTTTATGCATTTATTTCCTTTTGTGCCTTCAATTTGTGTCCAGGTGTATCAAATCTTTTTATGTTCTATATTACTTCCATTTTGTCTAAAACTTCGCTGGTGTTCATATGTTCGGTCTATGTCATTCCCAGCATCCTTCTGTAGATTCACATCTCAGTTGCTGCAAGTCTCTTCTTAAGATTGTCCAGCATTCATTACCATATAAGACTGATATTAAACTACTGTTCGTTACTCTTCACAGATTACAAAACAACTTAATCCACAGAGTAAATAAATAAAATGGACTTACTAAATAAAATGTTGTATTTTCTATAACTTTAAGAAGAGTCATTACCATATCCAATACTGTTGAAACATATATAACATCTAATATTTTGATAAACGTTTTGGTGCTTGTAGAAAAAAAAACAGACCATTATTTTTGTTTTGTTGCTTTTCGTTCTTGATACGTTTCCTTTTTTTACAAACTACACGGGACAATGGCTGAGGAAATGATCGATAAAAACTTTATGTTAATTCCATGAAGTATAAAAAAATGTCTGAACCAAATTAGGTAAGAAAATTAAGATATTGAATATTATTGTAAAGACGGCATCCACTTATAGGGACGTGGTTTCCTTTATCAGACATTGGGGTATGCACGTGATGAGGTATTTTGTCAGGCAGTGGAGTAACAATCATATTCTTACTTTTCAAAACTGCAGTAGCGAGAAAAATAAAAGAACAGGAATTAAAAAGACAGTAGATAACGATTGACATTGCATTTAAATTTTTGAAGATCAAAGTTGACGGGAAAGCAAGAAGGCGGAAAAGATTTCCACAAGTGAGAACTTCGAAAGAAGAAATTTACGGTTATTACAAGTTTAAAATGACGAGACCTTAATGCCAATCTAGTGCTGCGCTTAAATTAATAAAACTCGGTACTATAGATGAAAGTTCATCAAAACAATTGCCATGAAATTATTTATAGAAAAGGAACGGGGAAGGTACGTTACAGCGGTGGGAAAGTGACTAAAACCGAGATACCAGGTCAGGACTAATAACATTGCAGATTCTTGGAATTCGGCTTTCCGATTAACAATTCCAAGACATTATCCTTCACACCATCTACGTATTCAAGTTTACAGCACCTGGTATTCCCAAGTGGTCACCTATCTACGTACCGACCAATCTCAACGTTGCTTAACTTCGGTGATCATAAGGGAAGCGGTGATTTAACGTGATGTGGCCGTAAGCATAGAGAGATAGTTCTGTATGTGAATATCAATCGTATGGTATCCTCAACGAAAAGAACCTCCAAATTAATTCAATGAGAGAAACAAAACAATACTGACAAAACTAAAAGGAAACAAAGAAACTGGTGACATTTATTTATTGTCCTGGCAGCAGCCACCCACTTGACATCACGATTCCAAACAAATAGCAAATATTCTTTGTTGACCTTCTAGTAAAGACCAACAAAGATAAGATAAAAAAAATCCATAACACAAGGACATTCTTATTAATTCTTGCAAACTTGAATTATAAGCTTCGACAAACTCATCTTTTTATATACGTATGTGTGCCTTTGTGCGTGTGTCCTTGAGTATATGGATCCGTACATTTTATAAGGTCAGCACAATAATTTTGTAGCTGGGAAATTGTATTTTCGTTTATTATTTACATTTTTTAACCGGTATCACTCCATGCATGGCATAAAGCAACTAAAACACGAGGGTTTACAAAATGTTGAAGAATCAGGAACACAAAAATTTATAATGAACGAAAAGAGTAATCAGGGGGAAAGTAGATAGTGATTGACATTGCATTTAATTTTTTGCTGATTAAACTTGGCTGGAAAGTATGGAGCCGGAAGCAAAGAATACAAGAAAAGAAACTGTTAGCATAGAACTTACGGCTATACCTAAGCAGTTCATCTGTAAAAATAGGAGATCTAGACGCCAGAGCTTAAATTCATAAAGTCTAGGTAACTTAGTGAAGAGCTAATACGAACAATTGCTATGAAAGTATTTATAGAAAAGACACAGAGAGGCAAGGAAAGTGACTGAAGCCGAGCTGCCAGATCAGGACCAATAATATTGCTGGTTTTTCTTTGGATTTTATCAAGGAGCTCATGGTAAATAGCAGTAGAAGCAATATTCTAAGCATGGACAAATGGTAGATTTATAGATATTAACTAAATTTCTATCTCGTATTTTCATTATATATTATATAAAATATGTGTTGGATTAAGTCCATTAAAAGAGAAGTAGAATTATGTCGAAAAATAAATAAATGGTGTAAAATGAATACTTTATTCATCATTACGCTAAACACATACTGACTTGCGGGTGTCTGGATGGGCTCGTTGTGTAGGTGCGCGGATGTTCTTAAATGCGACTGCTGTATATATCAGTATATTGAATATCACTGGAGGGGGGAAAAAGTTTTATATCGAGATGGAAATCAGGATTTTCTTATATGAATATCAGGAAGATGTACATCTCAGTTGCTTGTTCTGTTGGCTTCTTGTTCCCATGCAATTTACAGATAATTTCTTGATTGACGTTCAATGTCGATAGACATCAGGACAATATATATATATATATATATATATATATATATATATATATATGTGACGGGGTTCCGAGCCACGGCCTGCCTCGGCCACCAGTTATGGCGGCGTTCCGAGTCTATCCCGGTTTGCTCACTTGGTCAGGACCGATCCTAGCATCAGAGAACAAGACGTCAGCCCACACGTCGGTCGTTGATGGCGTTTGACACAACAGCTGGTCTTTAAGTTGACCTCTTCAACTGTGACCTCTCTTACCCACGTTGTGATTTTGATCTTAAGATAGTCAAACCGAATTTCCACTGGGGTATCTTAACCACGCTAAACCAAGGAGTTGAACATGCGCACACAGAATTGAAAAATAAAATGGACGACACCCGAATAAGTCACGATATGATGTTTATATCAAAATAACAAAACAAAATATTTACAGTTATTTTTCTTCTTCTTTTTCTTCTTTTCCCAACCCGTCCTAATAATTGGCGACGAAACGAAAATTTCGGGTAAGGATGGCCAGACTTGACAACTGGATTTATCTTCAAGTACTGTGATTTGTACTTTCTAGAACGGTACAAGGTTTATCGGCGGAGTGTCCCTACTTCAGCAGACAACTGGATTTAACTTCAAGTACTATGATTATACTTTCACGGACGGCACATGGAAGGATTTCGTCGGAGTTTTCTTCAGCGGCTAATTATTATTATTATTTTAATCAGGTTGGCAAACAGCGTTATGTCAGGAATCTCTTAACTTCCGGTCGCAACCTCAGCAACTACTACTGCAACTGGCTACGACTGCCACTGCCTCCGACTAACTTTGCCCCCGTGGGCACTTGTGTTTATGGGTCTCCCTTCTAACTGGTATGGTGCTGGTGAATTGGTGGGTTTTATGCAAATCTTCTAAAATTCAACCAGTCGTTTTCTTTCGTTTTCTATTTCACACTTCCAATTTTGAAAGATCCCCTCCTCTGTCGGGTGGAGCTATTATATGATGTCAGTCTTCCTGACGTCACCTTCTGCTTTTAATTTTTTCTCAGGGAAATTTTGGCTGACAATTTTCCCATTGACACCTTTTAGAAGACGCCCTTAACCTCTGGCCCCTGACCTGCCAGCTACGTTTAGCTGAATCACCTTACACCTGTTCCCATATCCTGGGGAAAATAAGTCTTTTTCTGACAAAAAAAATAAAATCGTTTTGTTTAACCCTTTTCGTCCGTACGCAATGTTAAATATTGTAAACATATATATATATATATATATATATAGTTTCTTAACATTCTAAAAATGGCATTTTGTAATGGTATGAATTCATGTTTCTCTAGCTATGGGTTAAAAAGATAGGGACTGTCTTGTCTTGGATGGGAACCAGTCGAGGAGAAGGAAAAACTTTGAATTTATCTCTCCGTATATGATAGAGTAAACTGAGATATAGCCATGATAGGATTTTTATCTGACTCTATTTCCTACTAGTCTGAACATTTTTTTTGTTTTTTGTTGATATCCCTTGTTTGAGTATACGCACTATTTCTCTTTTAAATCTTGTGAATTAGACGTGCTTGGATTCCATACAACGGATTGATGCAAACCTTATGAATGAAACTGGCTTGAGCAAACTGTCGCGTAAGTCGTCGAGGATTTGTGCTAGCCAGAAGTCAATGTCAACAGCATCAAGATTTCAACGTACTTGCCTTGTTCGACGACTGATCATGATAGATGGTATGATCGCTTCCAGAAATTGTAATTATTATCACTTCAGCATATTTTGTTGGTTCGGTGAGTATTGAAGAAACTCAAATGGGCTTGAGCGGGCATCTGCCACAGGGATTTCATCTTCAAGACAGGGACGATCATGGTTGTGGAGAGCCATGATCGTTCATCTTTTCAAGAGATACATATAGAAGAAAAAGAAGAACACAATCTCCTTTTGTTTATATGTCAATATGCAGAAGGATAAATGCATTGAATTTTAATTAATGTAGAGCTACAAAAGCTAGGGTGTTGTGGAGAGCCATGATCGTCCACGTCTTGAAGATGCACATATAGAAGAAAAAATGTACACAATGTCTCTTGTTGTTTATATATCAATAGGCGGAAGGACAAATGCATTGAATTTTAATAACTGTATACCTACGAAGTCTCGGAAGTTGTGGAGAGCAATGAACGTCCACATCTTGAAGAGATGCACATAGAAGAAAAAGAGGAACACAATCTCTTTAATTTTATATGCCAATATGTAGAGGGATAAATGCACTGAATTTTAATTAATGTAGGCCTACGAAGGCTAGAAAGTTGTGGAGAGCCATGATCATCCATGTCTTGAAGATACACACAGAGTAGAAAAAAGGAACACAATATCTTCTGGTTGTTATATATGAATATGCGGAAGGATTAATGCATTGAATTTTAATTAACGTAGAGCTACAATGGATTGGACGTTGTGGAGGGCCATGATCGCCCATATCTTGAAGAAAAAGAGGAACACAATCTCTTCTTGTTATTTATATGTCAATATGCGAAAGAATAAATGCATTGAATTTTAATTAATTTAGACTTACGAAGGATAGGATGTAGTGGAGAGCCATGATTGTCCATATCTTGAAGATGCTCACATAGAAGAGAAAGAGAAACAAAATTCCTTCTTCTCATTTATATGTAAATATACGGAAGGATAAAAGCACTGGATCTAAAATAGATGAGCGAATCAAACCTTGAGAAAAAACGGTGTCAATTTTGTTGCAATCAACTCTGGAAGCAATTAATTCGGGTTCAAGCCTTTTAGGGAATTTTGATCATATTTAATGATCGGAAACCTAAAAAAAATGATACTTTTTACAACCAGAATGAACATCAACATAATTTAATTAATGAACCAATTTTGCCAACAGCAAGCTGAAGTTTGTACCAGTCGCATTTTGTATGAATGGTAAAAGGACTGCATTTGTTCTTCCATAGATAATTTAAAACTATTCTACTGTATCATTCTGGATACACGTCTTTTAGACTAGCACAATGCAAAGATTTGTTTTCCTTTGATAATGCTAGGAGATGACTCACTGGTGTACATGTCACAAACAGTTCCAATTTATTGCATGATGCGGTTTCATTCGCTCGTGTATCAAAAGAGATTCGCTTGAAGGTTTGTCAACCAAGACAACAGAAAAATATTTAATAATCTTTAAGTCTATGGAGAATAGCGAAGTCCTATGAAAGAGCGAAGTCCTCAGAAAAAATTGGTTTTGTTGGACGAATGTATGCATTATCTGTACTCGATTCGGAATAACAGGCAATTTTCTATAAAATATTGTGAAACGTAATAATAATAATAATAATAATAATAATAATAATAATAATAATAATAATGAAACGCCTCCTTATTGATATGGCAGTCCCTGCAGACTGCAATGTATCTTTGAAGATATTCAAAAAGTTGTCAAAGTACAAGGACCTTAAAATAGAAATTTCGAAAATGTGGCATATGGGAACATCAACAATCCCTGTTGTAATTGGAGCCCTAGGATTGGTTGGAAAAGATTCCAGTAGACTAATTGAAGGGATTCCTGGAAGTCCATGATCAGTTGGCTGTCAACACTGACAACTTTCTGGTACCTTTTCATTTCCTTTGAGAAAGTATCCTTCATAAAATGTTTATGATCTCCAAGAACGACTGGAAACTAATGATACGTG